ACCCACTTCAGCATGCAGCATCATCCATGTGGGTACATGAGACAATCTGTGAGCTTCTCAAATACCAAATGAGATAAACTGCAATCATACACGTTGTACTTACTCGCCGGTATAGGAGCAATCTGCCTCGTAGAAAAGAGGACAGATTTTTTATGTTATAGGCTATTACTTGATGAGTGACAGTAGAACAAGTGGGTCGTCTAGCCGGAAAATGTTCACTTGAAAGAGAATAACTAAGAGTTTATGTCATTTTTGCTGTTCATCTTGCACCAGATGCTTTGAAATTAGGTCGGCGCCCAGTAGAAATCTGTTTTTGTAATGCATTATACACAACGTCCCTGCATCTGATTCAAGACTGAGCTGCACATGCTTGGTTAGAACTTGTCCTTCAGAGACAGCTTGAAATACATTTACAACACACAAAACTAAGATGCCTAAACTATGCCCATTTGTCTGCAAGCATGTATTCAGGATTATTTCTGATTCCCAAAGCCATATTTTGTTGCTCAGTTCAGAAATAATCAGATATGAGATTAAGGCAGCCAAAAAAAAAAAGTTGTGAATAACCACACCATATTAAAACCCCTCTGTGACTTCAATTTCTTTTGAAAGGTTGGGCCTCGTATTCAAGGCTAGTGCAAGCTTGATTGAAATTTATATGACATCCATCAACAAGAGCTTTGGGCCTCGTTTTGCCTCTGGAGGGGGACTTAGTGGGTTCTTCTAGTGATTAATGTCAGTGAAATATTAACATCAGTTAAACCATTCACAACTACATGGCAAGGTCATGACAGTATCTTGCATTTCAAACATCATTAAGCATCATTTTAGGCAACTAGAAAAATAAAAAAATATGCTTCTGTGGCCAGTCAGTGACCCTAGTGCTGTTGTTTTGTCCTCGTGTACGGGTGAAGACTTCTGTTATGTTTTTTAATCATGCGTGAGCACTGAAGCAGGGGATTTGCAGCAAAATGCCTCAAAAAAAATTCAAAAGCCTTGGTTGTGAGAGTATTTATAGTGTGTCAGAAATGTTGAGCAATTGTTTTGTTTGCCTGCCAAATCTAAGCTTTAATTATAATTTATCTCTTCTTTATCTTGGGGAACATTTTTTCTTTTGAAGTGAAAAACATAATGTTACACCTTTGGGGCAAGAAGTCCCCCCAAGCCTTGTACTAATTTGTTAAGTGCTTTGAATGCTGTTCCTTTGTTTAAAATGTTATTGCCATTATCGCTGCCACACTATTACTACTACACCTAATAGTATAGTAATATATACACCGATCAGACATAACATTATGACCACCTCCTTGTTTCTATGCTCATTGTCCATTTTATCAGCTCCACTTACTATATAGGTGCACTTTGTAGTTCTACAATTACAGACTGTAGTACGTCTGTTTCTCTGCATACTTTGTTAGCCCCCTTTTACCCTGTTCTTCAGTGGTCAGGACCCCCATGGATCCTCACAGAGCAGGTACTATTTGGGTGGTGGATCATTCTGAGCACTGCAGTAACACTGCACTGCACTGTGGTGGTGGTGTGTTAGTGTGTGTTGTGCTGGTACGAGTGGATCAGACACAGCAGTGCTGCTGGAGTTTTTAAACACTGTGTCCACTCACTGTCCACTCTATTAGACACTCCTACCTTGTCAGTCCACCTTGTAGATGTAAAGTCAGAGACGACAGCTCATCTGCTGCTGCATAGTTTGTGTTGGTCATCCTCTAGTTCTTCATCAGTGGTCACAGGGCGCAGCCCACAGGACGTTGTTGGCTGGATATTTTTGGTTGGTGGACTATTCTCAGTCCAGCAGTGACATTGAGGTGTTTAAAAACTCCAGCAGCACTGCTGTGTCTGATCCACTCATACCAGCGCTACACACACTAACACACCACCACCACGTCTGCAGTGTTACTCCAGTGCTGAGAATGATCCACCACCCAAATAGTACCTGCTCTGTGAGGGTCCATGGGGGTCCTGACTACTGAAGAACAGGGTAAAAGGGGGCTAACAAAGTATGCAGAGAAACAGATGGACTACAGTCTGTAATTGTAGAACTACAACGTGCATCTATATAGTGAGTGGAGCTGATAAAATGGACAATGAGCATAGAAACAAGGAGGTGGTCATAATGTTATCAGTGTATATATATATATATATATATATATATATATATATATATATATAGTAGTATATAGTAGTATCATAATATGCCAATTAAATAAATATACAAAATATCATTATACATTTAATGTAGCCACAGTAACACCTTAATTAGTGAGAAAAAAAATTAATTTCAAATATTTCTACTTCCATTTCTCTGTACTATAAATCTATATCCAACAGCTTGCCTGTTCTTGCAGCGGGTGCTACCTACTGATGCATTCCACGGTAAACCATTCGATTAAACCTCAATACAGATTTCATATATAAAGCAGGCTATATAGCCTGTTTAATTTGTACAGCAATGAAATGTAAAGACTTCATCTAAACAATTGCCAGCTCATTTAGGTGTAGGTTAGGTGGAGGTTATTATTTAATGGCCAGAGCTGGTATTCAGAAAGCAGTCTTAGGTTAGAGGACTGATCTTAGATCAGATTCCTCCAAATTTGTGATGCTCATGTGCACAAAAACTGATTCTATGTCAGCACTTATACTGATGAAGTGGTTTATGAATATAAATCAGAATATTTAGATATAGAACAATAGATGATTATTACTCCAACATAAGATGTCAACTGTTTGTGAAGTTGGGCCATTTTCTCCCATCTTCTTTGTTACTCACACTTGGTAATATCTGACATGGGGTAAATACAAACATAAGATCATCCAACATAAGATCTTCATTTATAATCGTGTCCAAACCAAAGTAGTTTATAACAAATAGGCAAGTGTTTCCATGGACTATTTCAAAATCCTGTAATGGAACCCAGTTTAAATCTTAGTGATTTGAAATGCTTTCCACTTAGCCTACAGCTCTTGAACAGTAAAAACAAAACCTTGTAAGGGATCATTTTTAAATGCATATAAAACTAGATAAATGCATTTTCAGACTAAGTGGTGAAGCATTAAAGGTAAACATTAATTAGCCCCTTAAAATCCTAGGCGTATTACATACTAAGGCTTATTATTCAATAACTACAGGGACTTCAGTGCAAACTGGCTGAGCTATTCTTAGGTTATAGAAGTGTGTAATAGAACTTTGGTCCTGCTGGTGGGCCCTGGCCTTTTAAGATTATCACATTAATATTCTATGCTGTAGCTATTGTTGAAAATCACATTAATCAGGTATTCTGAGTCGTTCCTTTCACGTTTGCCAAATATTTGAGAAAAGTGCAAGGCCAGTGAAATATCATTTCTCACTGAGCAAGTTCTCACAAACAATGTTTGGTAAGAAAAAAAGGGAGGAGTATTTCCTGGAGACATTAACTACCAAATCAAACTTGAATGAGGCTTTTCTTCTGAGTCTTCCAAACTCAACACACTCAGTGATCATGGGGCTGGCAGTCCTGCTCTGTGTATTTGTTCTGCTTTGCAAGTCTATAGACAGAGAATGATGCCACAGTAAAGTGAATATTGATATAACATTGGTAATATTTGTGGTGTTTCAACTTATCTTACTGTTGCAGGCTGAAGTTAATATAAATAATAGCATATATATTTTGTCTGAAATTTTGGCATGACAGGCGTTTGACATTTGATCTATACACTCATCTTCTTCAAAGCAAATATGGATGAACCTTTAGGAGGCCATTGTTTCTGTAATGAGAAAAACTTTGTAGTTCCTCTATTAATACACCACATAATTACAATTTTTTCATTTATTCTATGAATACATCTCATGATCACTAAATACTCTTAAACATGTTTGATTAGTTGTTACTTGAAATGTTAATGTAGGTTTGAAGTAATAAATCCACAGAGAATGCTATTGCCATTATTGATGCTTTGCTTTTACTACTATACTTAATAATAATAAGGATCGTAATAATACTGTTAAATATACATCATATCATTATGCCTTTAATGTAGTCACAATATTTAATTATTGAGAAAAATTGACATTTCAAATATTTCTATTTCCATTTCTCTCTGCTATAAATCAATATTCAACAACTTGCATATTCTTGCAGGATGGTTGCCACATACTGAGGTGTTTCACACCAAAACAAACACAGATTTCAATCATGAAGCAGACTGCATAGCCTGCTTAGTTCTTACAGCAGTGCAATTACCAGCACATTTAGGCTAAGGCTACTATTTATTGGCCAGAGCTGGTACTTGCAAAGCAGTTTTAGGTTAGAGGACTGATCTCAGATCAGATTTCTCCACATTTGTGATGCTCATGTGCACAAAAACTGATTCTATGTCAGCACTCATACTGATGAAGTGGTTTATGAATATATATCAGAGTGTTTAGATATAGAACAATAGATGATTATTGCTCTAACATAAGACCCCATCCACTAATATGAAGTTTGGCCATTTTCTCCCATCTTCTTTGTTACTCACACTTGGTAATATCTGACATGGGGTGAATACAAACATTAGATCTTTGACATTTATAATTGTCTCTGAACAAAAGTAATTAATAGTCCATATGTAGTCCACATATATATTGTCCACAGACTATTTCAAAATCCAGTAATGGAACCCAATTTCAATCTTTAACATATTACCACGTGTTTGTCACATGATATCACAAACGTGATCACATATTATTCGCATTATGTCGCATATTTACTCTTGAACTGTCCTTTTTAGACACTTCACATGTGAAACGCATGTGACCTTGTGAGGGATCATTTTTAATGTGTTTAATTTAGTGGTGAAGCACTATTGGCAAACAGTAATTAATTCTATGTGGTTCCTTTCATGTCTTCCAAATATTTGAAAAAAATGAAGGCGAATGATACGTCATTTCTCACTGAGCAAGTTCAAACAATGTTGAGTAAAAAAAAAGAAGGAGGAATGTTCTCTGGAGACATAAATACAGAGATCAAACTCAAGTGAGGCTTATCTTCTGAGTCTCCCAAACTCAACACACTCAGTGACCATGAAGCTGGCCGTCCTGCTCTGTGTATCTCTTCTCCTTTGCTGGTCTGGTGAGTGATAATCTCTTTGATAGAGAATTATGCCACAGTAAGGTGAATATTGATATAACATTGGTGAGATTTGTGATGTTTCAGCTCAGGCTGAACTTAATATAGGTTATAGCAGATCTGTTTATTCTGAACCATTCACCGTTTTTTGTCTTACTGTTTAAACTTATTGTGTTGGGATACGTGCAGGAGGTATTATGTATATTATGTATACAACACTTTTGGCATGACAGGCATTTGAGACTTGGAGTATACACACATCTTCTCTAAAATAAATATGGATGAACGTTCAGGAGGCCATTGTTTCTGTTATGAGAAAAACTTCATAGTTCTATAAATGCATCACATGATTACAATTTTTAATACGTGTAAATATATTTAGTTAGTTACTTGAAATGTTAATGTAGGTTTGAAGCAATAAACCCACAGAGAATGTAGGGGAGCGTGGGGGGACTAACGTGGGGCACATTTTAACATGGACTTTTAATGTTGTAATACAAGGTCAAGCGTTTGCTTCTGGCCACATTAACACATTTCCTAGCCACATTCTCGTGTGAAAATTCAGAGTGATTCATCAGCGTTTTGAAGAAATCTGTGCCAAAGAGTGCTTTTAGGGCATGTAAATAATTTTTTGGTTACTGAGCTGTTTGTGTAAATCACAAATCCAGCCTTATATTACTTTAATCACCATATTGTTGTCTAAAACCTAGCACAGTCCTAAAGCATATGACAAGCTTGCAGCAAGTGCTAGCTAGGTTGAAGTTCAGCCTCCAAAAACTGCATCTGAAAACAGAGATTGCCTTCTACTTTATTAGAATCTTTCAGATGTTAGTATTTTGGTTTAAATAAGTATATGAATGAAACTGACAATAATAGCTGGTAAAGCTGTAGTTATTAAGAAACAATGTTCCATATTTCACTGATATGTGATGTTTTTTTTTTTTCGCTGTCCTACACTGGACAAAAAATGTGTCATTGTTTGACACACAGTCTAATGTCTCAAGTTTTCCTCGTAGATAGATAATATATAATGCAGTATGGTTGGAAAATATATTTGTTTCTTATAACATAGAATTATATTTAATTAACTTGGTTTGCACTAATTCATCAGTTTTCTAGCAAGTGTTACAACAAACCCTCTGTCTGTTACAATTAACCCCACCCATGGGTAAATTGTAACAGTGCGCTTCCAGTCATTTTCAGTGGAATTAGTAGATGCTAGAAACAAAGTTGCAATATTCATTTGTAGCAGAGATGTATATGTTGCTTGTATATAAACATGATTATTACAAATTAAACATTTTTTTTCAAATTATTTCACAAAATGTGTTAGGTTGTGCCCCACTCTCATGTCTTATGGCTCATATTCACAAGGCTTCTTAGAGTGCAAGTGCTGATTTAAAAAGTTATTTACTTTGGCTTTGCTGAGTGGAACAGATCCTAGATCAACACTCCTTATCTGAGAAGTTAAGCTAAGTCATTGTTTGTGAGAACATATACCTGTGTATAAATGAAACTTTGAATTTTAAACAAGACTTAGTCATGTCAGTTAATAAAATGCAGATTCATTGTATCAAGTTATCTCACATGCATTGGTGGGTCTAGCAAAGTGAACATAAATGAAATAAAGTTATCTGCTCAACCATGTTCTTTAGAGACTAATCTGAGCACACAGGTTATGTTTGACAGGTTGAATTTCGACGTGTAAAAGTTCTCTTAAATTGTATTTCCTCTTTACAGCTTTCACAGCAGCGGATGAGGCTTATAAGGTAATGAAAATGATCAACCGCATTAATGAAAATGATAAAAAAAAAATATTTTTTCATTAGTAATATTAACATGATGTTGTGTGAATGTAAACAGAGAAAATGTATTTTTTTAAATGAATTATTAAAATGTTCCCTCATCTGATTTCTTGTAGCCTAACTGTGCTCAGTATGCAAACTCGGTATGCCTCCGTTACATTGATCCAGTGTGTGGTGACGATGGCAACACATACCCAAATGAGTGTGTTCTCTGCATGGAAAGCACGTAAGTTACAACACAGCTAGAAAAACATAATCAGTGAGTGAGTGAATGGATGCCTTTTCAGAACATAATGTCTAGTACATGAAATGTGTGTTTAGTATGCCAGGACAGGGAGTGTGAAAAATCGCAAGGAGCAAATCATTTTAAATATATTGGTTCAATTTCTGTGCATTTGCTCATTTATAACAGAATATTAAAATCTGAAACTTGTTCTGAATTTTTCTTCTTTGCAGCGTCAACAACCAGTATGTCATGGTGGCGTATAAGGGAAAATGTGGCCCTGTGTGAGCCTATCACTCATCAGAGCTGCATTATATACAATGCACTACAAAAAATGAGCTAAATAATCTATTCAATAAATGTGAGGTAACAATCTGCACTCAGTTTGTTTGGGTAGATTTCACCCCATACATACAAAAAGTGAGTAACATTAACATGATTGTCAGCAGGCAATTCTTCATCTACTTCATATTTATTATTAATCAATCTATATGACTAATTAACCATTACTTATTCAGGGAAGTTTAGCTTTACATAAAACAAAAATCAGACACAGAAGATGATATTGACTGTCTGGAGTATCTAAGATTGCTGAAATAAAATTAATAAATAAAGAAAAAATAGTTAAAAGTAAAATAAACATACAGTGGTATCACATCTAATCATATGTATATTTTTAACTCTGTGCGCTTGTTTGTAATTTGTAAAGTGCTTATGCTGTGTCTAATTTAGGGAGCAGAGACACACGATTCAATATAGACAATGAGGCACATTTCTAAACTTGTTTTGAAGTGAAGAGAATCAAACACTGCTTAAGCACAGTCAGTACAGAAGTCACATCTGGTTTAATGGGAATGTTCCTGACCAAGCGCTAAGGTTAAAATATGTAAACAACCCCAAAATCAGTCATAACGTCAGATCCCATTCAAACATGACATGAGTCATATCCAGAAAAAAAGAATAAGACATGTAAACAGGTGGTCTGTGCCTGAACTTAGGTACAAACAGTTCATTCCATTAGCTTACTTTTGATGCTGTGGACCCTCTTGAGCAGTATTGCTCTGTCAAGCTCCAAAAAAAAAGTTTCTGGAAAACTTCAAAAGTGTGCTTGAGCTTCTTGGGATACTCAATGTTAAGGGGATAGATCAACCCCATCAACAGCATATGTGCCTTGGTTTTGTTTCTACACCTGTTCAGCACCTGGATGCCCTCTGTCACAATAGACATGTCTCCTGGATCACCCTCGGCCATAGGATTATGGATCTCCAGCACCTTCATGGTTTGGTCCTTGTGGCCTTCACGTTCATCCTCCATGTTAAAAAGAAACAAAAAGCTTATGAATTGTAAATTTAAGCACATAAACAAGATATATTCAATATAATTCAATTTTCCTCATCAAGCCATTCATTTGAATGCTAGCACCATTTTTTGTATTAATCAGCACTTCAATACAAGTAGGTGACAAATTGAAAGCAAAACCTGAATGGTTGACCCCAGTATCCCATAGTAGAACATTTATCAATCTAACCCTTTGCTGTAGATCAAAAAATTGTCATGCTGGAACAGACCGCTCCCCTCAGAACAAAAATGTGAGCATCATAAAATGAAGGCATAACAGATCTGACACTAGGCCTCCTGAATATAGGGGTGTACCATTCAGATTTCTTATAATTAATGTATCCCCCATCTGCATCTTTCATGCACTTAATGTAATGTAATGTAGATCAAATCAATAAATCAATATCAAACATTAACTGGTAAATGTTCCCCATCAAGTGTTACTAATTATTAATCAATGTACAAATAAACAGAAAATTGGCAATGAATGTCAACAACCCATGCAAAATGTTTTCTGTGACTAAAATGTAGGTATTCTGACTAAAATATAGGTATTCTGAGCAGTTTGTAACAAGATTCTACATGGCTAGCATGGTGGCATTTCTTTTTAAAAAGGTGGACTGTGCTATACACCGAAAAGAAAAACTCTGACCCCCCAAACCCAACCCCCAATATACACACACACTTGACAGTTAATGTCAAGCATAATTACTGTTCACATATGTAATTCTTAAAATGTAAGACCTAACAAGATACCAAGCATGTGCTTTAAACCTTTTTATAATAAACAAACAGTTTTGTAAAGGGTAGGAAAAGTGTACAGTTTTACCCTGAAGGTTAGGTATCTGATTGGCTGATTGGCTAAATCACAGTTCTGTGATCAGTATCAAAAATGAAACAATGGTATCAGGGCAGCCCTATGTGTATCCCTGTGAATACCTCAAGTTGATCAATCATTTAATAACATGCCTGGCAGTCTTGGACGAGCTCTTCTTGGTGTCCCCCAAGGTACTCAGTTAGGCAACAGACAACCCTTCTTTCTCAACACACTGAGGCTGTAAGAAGATGCGTTTTAGTAATAAGACTTATTTCTGCAAGTTAGTTTTTGCACTTTTGTGAAAAAAGTTAAACAAAAATATGCCTAATTAACAGTGTTCAGCAGAGGATACAACCTGGCACCAGCGGCTCCTCCTTTGGCATGCATCAGCTGCAGAAGTCATGGTGCATACCCCTCAAGCTTCAGCATGAACTTCCACTTCCAGGCTGGGAGAACCAGTCATCTACACTCTTGTACATATACATATGAATGATCAGCTGCAACCATAAGACCACTGAGAGATGAAGTAAATAACATTGATTATCATGTTACAATAGCAGCTGTTGTGGGGTGGGATATATTAGGCAAGTGAATGATCATTTCTTGAAGTTAAGTTTTGGAAGCAGGAAAAATGGGCAAACACAAGGATGTGAGTGACTTTGACAAGGGCCAAATTGTAATAGCTAGACAACTGGCTCAGAGCTTCTCCAACTTGGCAGGTCTTGTGGGGTGTTCCTGGTACACAGTGGTTAGTAACTACCAAAAGTGGTCCAAAGAAGAAGATTTAAGGTGGCAGTGGATTTAGGGTATCAGTAAATTTAAGGTGGCAGTGGATTTAAGGTGCCAGTGGATTTAAGTTATCAGCAAGGTGGCAGTGGATTTAAGGTAATAATAAATTTAAGGTGGCAGTGAATTTAAGGGGGCAGTGGATTTAAGGCAACAGTAAATTTAAGTTGGCAGTGGAATTACGGAGGCATTGGATTTTGGGTGACAATGTATTTAAGGTAGCAAGAGATGTAAGGTGGCAGTGGATTTAGGGTATCAGTAAGTTTTAAGTGGCAGTGAATTTAAGGTATCAGTAAATTAAAGATGGTAGTAAATTTAAGGTGGTAGTGAATTTGACATACCAGTGGATTTAAGGTACTAGTGGATTTAAGATAGCGGTTGATTTAAGATATTAGTTGATTGACGGTAACAGTGTGTTTAATAGCATAGCAACCACCTAGCAACACTTTAGCAACCACTTTGGATAGCATAGCAACTGCCTATCAACATCTAAGTAACGCTTCAACGGTGGTCCACCATTTTAACATTTTAATGTAATTAACTGACTTTTTAAAACCAACTGAAAGGTCATTCACCAACTTTCCCTTTGTAGTCGGAGGGAGATAATCTACCTCTGCTTTCTTTGGCTTTTTCACATTTTTGGCTGGGGCTGTGTCGGTCGGTACCTTCCATACATAAGATCATCAAACATAAGATCTTCAAAACAGAGCTATTTGTAGTCCACATATATTTTGTCCATAGACTATTTCAAAATCTGGTTATGGAACCCAATTTAAAGTTACTTTCAGTGCTTTTCACTTTATAACCTACAGCTCTTGAACAACACTTTGTGCACAGTAAAAACAAAAAGATCAGAGGCTGTGCATTGTTCATTCTTCTAACTTTACATCAACATTGTGTGTCTTTACTGTTAACTTGTACAGGGAGATTCACTCGAAAGAGGCCCCGAATATTCCATAATTACTCTCGCTAGGATGAAGCAATCTGAACGAAACAGTGCAGTGTGCTTCTCAGTATATGGAGCTTCGAACAAGCCAGGATGCCCCTGTGTTGGAGCGATGAGGTAGACGCCGGATAGCCGTCAGGACGTTTAACCTCTCTAACACTTGCCGACATGTTAAGGAACATGGAGCGTTGTGTCGAACTGTGTCTGGCAGAAAACGGAGATCACTTCCAGCATTGCATGTAATGCAATCGATTACACATATGTCAAGGTATGTCGCGCAATTTTTTGGTTCAGGTTGCTTCATCCTAACGGGAGTTACAACAGAATATTCGGGGCCTCTTTCGAGTGCATCTCCCTGTATAATAAAGTGAGGTTTGAAGATTTTCTCTTATTGTCTTCTTTTGATCATAGAAGAACATGACTTCCTCTAACATTATATCCTTTAACTAATATTTGTGACATTTCACACATTATTTTTCACACCCTACAGCATCCCTTCATTTCACATTCACGTTTGTGATTTTCCCACATCAAGAATCATTTATTTGATAATGATGTAACAAAACCACGTATTAGTCACATGATACCACAAACGTGATCACATATTATTCACATTATGTCACGTGTTTACTTGTGAACATGTCCTTTTTAGACACTTCTTTTTCATCAGGTATTCTGAGTTGTTCCTTTGAGAAAACTGAAACGTCATTTCTCACTGAGCAAGTTCTCACAAACAATGTTGGGTAGGACAAAAGAGGGAGGAGTGTTCTCTGGAGACATAAATGCAGAGATCAAACTCGTGTGAGGCTTATTTTCTGAGTCTCCTAAACTCAACACACTCAGTGACCATGAAGCTGGCCGTCCTGCTCTGTGTATCTCTTCTCCTTTGCTTGTCTGGTGAGTGATAATCTCTTTGATAGAGACTTAGGCCACAGTATAGTGACTATTGATATAACATTGGTAACATTTGTGGTGTTTCAGCTTACCTTACTGTTGCAGGCTGAACTTAATGTAGGTCATAGCAGATAAATTTATTCTGAACCATTTTTTGTCCAATCTGTGTTGGGATATGTGTTGGATTATGCTTATAAATAAATCTATAAGAAACAGGACATTAATGGTGGTAGCAGTAAGACAGGTTTGCCATGTAACACTTTTGGCATGACAGGCATTTGATATTTGATCTATACACACGTCTTCTTTAAAGCAAATCCGGATGAATGTGTAGGAAGCCATTGTTTCTGTTATGAGAAAAACTTCTTAGTTCTTCTGTAAATACATCCTATGATTACCATTTTTCATCTATTCTGTGAGTACATTCCATGCTCACCAAATACTCTCAAACATGTTTAATTAGTTAGTTACTTAAAATGTTAATGTAGGTTTGAAGCAATAAATCCACAGAGAATGTATACAAAAAGAAAATGTCTCACAAACATTGGCCCACGTTCACAAAGCTTCTTAGAGAACGAGTACTGATTTAGGAGTGCTGCTTTAAAAAGTTATTTTCACTTTACTGAATGGGGCAGATCCTAGATCCGCACTGCTTATCTGAGAAGCTTTGTGAATACAGATCATCGTTTGTGAGAACATCTAACTGTGTACAAACTTTCAACTTTAAGCAGTCGGATTAGTAAATAAAATGCAGATTCATTACATCAAGTCATCTCACATGTATTGTTGGGTCTAGCAAAGTCAACATAAAAGAAAGAAACATAAAATACCTGCTCATCCACATTCCTTTAGAGACTAATCTGAGCACACAGGTTGCGTTTGACAGTTTGAATTTTAACGGGAAAAGGTCAGATCATTTCCTTGTTTGTTTCTCTTAACTTGTATCTCTTCTTTACAGCTTTCACAGCAGCGGATGAGGCTTATGAGGTAATGACAATGATCAACTGCATTGACGAAAATTATGAAAATTGTTTATTTTTTATCATTTTGATTGATTGTGATTGATATTTGTATGAATGTAAACAAAGAACATTTAACGTTTTTTTGTGAATTACTAAAGGTTTTCTCATCTGATTTCTTGTAGCCTAACTGTGCTCAGTATGCAAATTCAATATGCACCCGTGAATTAGAGCCAGTGTGTGGTGACAATGGCCAAACATACCCAACTGAGTGTATTCTCTGTCAGAAAAACACGTAAGTTACAAAAAAACTAGAAAAACATAATCAGTGAGTGAGTGAATGGAGCCCTTAATATTTCTAGTACATGAAATGTGTATTCAGTATGCCAGGACTGGGGGTGTGAAAAATCACAAGGAGCAAATCATTTTCCATTTCTATTCATTTGCTCATTTATAACAGAATATTTAAATCTGAAACTTGTTCTGTACTTTTCTTCTATCAGCATCAACAACCAGCAGGTCAAGGTGGCGTATAAGGGAGAATGTACCCCTGTGTGAGCCTATCACTCATCGGAGCCGCATCATATAAAATGGCTGTGCTACGATGTCAAAAATCTTTAACTATACTCATGGAATCTATTACCGTCAAGTCTTTTGACAATAGACATAAAATTTGTGATTTCAAGTTATCATCAAATTAAAGCCAAGCATATTATTTCTTGTTTTTTTGTCCTGTTGTATAAATCAAAAGAAATTCAGAAACGTTGAGAGTTAATATATAATGTGTAGAGCCTGCATGTAGAATAAAGACGTTTTGGGTTGTGAAGGTTTGTCAGAGTTTTAAAATTTCACATTGAAACATTGAAGGGCTTGAGCACACCACAAAGGCAGCATCAGAGCAGAATCAGTTTTATTTTTTCAAATGAACTGCATCAGTGATGCTCTTTTTTACTGTTCAGCAGTGGTGTCTCCTGCACATTCAATTGTAGAGCACACAACTATGGAGCTAGTCATCTGGCTGTGAAAACTACAGAGCCCTGCTGGCGACATCATGTCTAAATAAAAATAATGTGTGGCCATGACTTAGTAAGGTGTGCAAACAAAATAATTAAGTCGTGGCTATGACTTACTAAGGCCTGGGAATGAGGTCCTAATGCATGGCCACAACTTAGTAAGGCACGATCTCGTTCCCACACCTTACTAAGTCGTGGCCACAACTTAATTATCTCATTCCCATGCCTTACTAAGTCGTGGCCACGCATTAGGATCTTGTTCCCACATGTTAGTAAGACATGGCCATGCATTATTTTTATTTAAATAGGATGTCACCAGCAGGGGTCTGTAGAAAACAATATGTTTAAGAGTTTCTTTTTCACTACAGAACATATTTCTATGTACACTGAACACCTAGTTTATTCAATCAATCAATCAATCAATCAACGTGTACTTCTACTTGGAAGTACACTGAGGATAAACCTCATTTACAAAGTAGACGAGCAAGTTAAACAGGGATAGAAAAAAAAGCTAAAATAACATTTGTCAGCTAAAACAAATCAAAATCACCAAGACAAGACAAGGAGATTTATAAAGAAAATAAAAATAACAGCTCAAATAAGAAAATAGGCATAAATAGCAACAATATATAAATAAAATATAATGAAAACAAATTCAAAGTAAATAAAAGAACCAAATAAGATAGTAAACAATAAGAAAACTAAAAAATCTTAGAAATTTTTTAATAATGTAAAAGAATTAACATCAAACAAAACAGTTGCAGGCTGAATGGAGGTAGATAGATATTAAAAGTTTCAGTAAAACTTTCAAGTTTTAGTAAAACCCAATTCAGTAAAAACTCTTGGAACATGCTGCAGTTATTTGAGCAGGTCTGATAAACACCATCATTTACAGAGAGCATAGCTGTGATAGATGGCATGTCACTCTCAGTTCTAAAATATAAATAATCCTACCTCCAGCCAATCAAAACATATGAAACAACAGATTTGACATGAATCATGGCGAATAAAAAATGGAAAGAGGAGGGAGGAGGAGCAGGTGGAAGTTTAGCTGTATATTTGTAATCAAGCACCAACGTTTGACCAACTTGAATGAAACACTGTTGTCTTTTTGTTATTTAAGAAAACACCCTCACAATATTTGACCAATATTTCTCCACTATTGTGACTATTATTGTGCTAAAATCAGTGCGGTAATAATTTTCTGCCAGTTTGGTATCAGTATCAGTCTGGTATCATTTGGGCCCTTGGATCAAAAAGTGTAAAGACCTCAAGTTTACTGGATTTAATCTCATAACAGCTCCATAACAATGCTACATATAGTTCTAAAGTAGCTGACAAATTCAAACACAAGCTGTCTAAATGAATGAATAAAATGCACCAAGAACTTTATTAGAACTGCATTTGGTCTCAAGTTAGTGTTCAGTGTTTCAGTTAAATTCTTCTGAAGGCATGAATGGAAAAATCTTGTGCAGTTGAATTCATGACTCACAATTTCAATTGCAAATGGACTCTTTAAAGCTTTTGGCTAGCCTATAAAATAGTTTTGGTTAAACATGTAATTTCTGCCTCATTACAGTAGACATGCTTTGAAATAGGACTAAATTCATTGCAGTGAAATCTACCAAGTTGTACATAGTTATTGTTTTTGGTTGCTGTTGTTTTTGATATTTATTCATGAATCTATAGTAAGTAGATCTGATCTATCTAAAAAGATGTTGCCCTGTAAATGAAAATTATGTGAAGACATATAACTGCTGGCATAAACACATAGCAAAAGTAACACACACTAGGTGTCACATCAACCCTGCCAAAACTCACCGTCAGACCTGTGCCACCCCTGGTAAGATCCTTCTAGATCCTCCAATGTGAGGCACTTTCTTTGTTGGCTACAGCTCTGCAGCCTAGTTAGATTAGCCTGCACAGTTCTGATCTTCTAATTCAGAATTGTATTCCAGGGCCTCTGATAGTACCTAGTAAAGTAGTAATGAAGTCTTCCATTTATGGTAAGCTTTATGCCATGTGCACCTGGCACCCTTGAAAATGCATTCAGAAAATAATGATAGTACCGAGGAGGTCTGAAGTAGGAAAAAGGATAATTGCTTCCTCCAGTGAATTATTTTTCTCCAGGCAAGGTTGGGTGCACTCATTGAAGCACTGCTCAGCATTACAGAGGTTTGCACATCAGCTGCAATTTGGTTCCAAATACTAGCTTTTGGAAAAGACTTCATATGCATCAGACTTAGTGTATGTGGGTTGGAGGCACTGTCGGGTAATTATGCAAAAGCTTGGAGAACATGCAGGGAACTCGCTACAACTAAATTAAATGAATAAAATGAGAACTTAATTAAATTAACAAAAAGAAAATGCGTCAACTTTTTTTCCTATATTATTCATGTATTCCATTTATAACATTTGTGTGGGTTTAAGTATCAAAAACAGTCATGAATAATTTTACATGACCATTTTTTTTACGTTTAAATGAGCTTTTTCTAAGTGGCTGCACTGTATTGTGCATCACTCAAAAAGCAATTTGGGCTGAAACACTTCTTGCTGTGACCTCCGTGTGAATGGGTGGAGCTAAACTGCTGTAGGCTGAATAGGCAGATATATGTAAATGAGTTGGTTTTCGTGACGAAAATACAAAAACTATGAATTCAAAACGAGCTGTTTTCATAAATGAATTGTATGGACTGGTGAACCAATGTTTTGAAACTTAACACTTTACATTACATCAAAATAATAGAGGTTTACATAATACTTCAAACTCTTTTATTTGAAAAAAAGTGAGGAAAATGTGATTTTCTATGATTTGGACTCTTTATTAAACAACTTCACTGGGAAAGTGAGCAGCTGAATTAACTCCAAGATGAGTGGCATACACCTTGTCTAATGTGCACAAATGTATGGAAAGGTTTGGAATCACATATCAAAATATTTAATTCAATATTACAAGGTTTTTGGGGAAATGTTATTAAAAATGTGCTAAATGATAAATTATGGACGGTAATTACATAATTTTGTTTCAAATTGTAATTTCCTAGCTGCCTGGGATTTGATCATGCTTCAAATATGAGCCATTCTGGATGTTCATTTTATTACAACCTCATTCTCAATGTTGTACAGCTTTCTCAGTCATTCAGCAATCATCTACTGCTCCAGTCATCATTCTGGACCTGTCTAAAATGTCTTTTTTCTTTTACTTCTTACAAGATGAAACCTGTGAAGAGAAGTAGCATCACAATATAATCATTCCATACATTTCTTTTTTGTGTTATTGAAAACAGTGACCCCAAATTTTTGGATGGTAGTGTATGTGAAGCTCAGTAAACTCACTACTGTGCTTTAACAAGGTTGGGTACAGCAACAGAGTACAAGTATTGGGAATAGTTCAGTTTTTTTTACAAACACTGAAGTTCCTGCTAAAGTCTGAGTAGACTGATCAATCAGTATGAGCCAGTAATTATTCACAGTGTTACTAAAATCTTTTGAGGGATGAGGAAACTGAACAGTCTGATGCTGGATGATTAGTTCTGCCACTCCAAATCATCCCAAAGGTATTAGATGGAGCTCTAGTGTTAAGCCTTCCCAAAAGAGTTGAGGCTGTTACTTCAGCAAAGGAGGAACAAACACCCTATTGGGACCCGTGATTTCAGAAGAAACATCAGATGAGCAAGTGTCTATAAATATTTGGAAATATAGGACCAATATTTGTCTGTTGTAGATAACAGTACTGTAAGGATCTACAAGGAGCGTAGCTAGAGCTTTTAGAATGGGGTGGTCAGGTAAGACCCAGAGATATTTATTGGGGTGGCACACTGCAAAGGAAAACATAATAATAAAATAGTGTTACTCTATTAAAATGTCATATAAATTAATTCAATGTTTCTTCTATGTACATAACTAAATCTGTCCATCGTTTTTTACATGAATAAAATATCAATGCAACTATTGCTGAAGGTAAACTGGCAGAAAAAATTGTGTTGATGTATATCATTCATGAGCAAATGATGCATTTGAATCAAGCAAATTAAGTACATCACTTTTTTCAGTACAAAACCTTTACAGTAAGAAAAACATTTAACTAACACAGGCCATAGAAGACAGGTTATTCATGAGTATAATGACTGCCAGATTGCACTATATAAAGGAACTGACAACACTTACTTTATTCAACTGTAAAAATAAATGATCATGATAAATGATTATAGCTAACTAATTGATGATAGTTAATGAATCTTACCATTGAATATCATACTTTATAATGTAGGTCAGAGAGTAGCACTGCTGAAGGGACCCAGTGCACATTCAATAACCTGTTTACTAAGTAAATTAGCCCATCACAGCCAGATACACTCATAATTAATTGGTAACTACCCTGATTTCACCATAACACATAATCAATGTTTCATTCATGATTGCTGACTGATGATGGCTGATTGTCTCATTTTCCATAACCGGGGTGCCAGAAGGGTGGCTATGCTTTATTCTTGGGCGGCACTTGCCACCGCTGGCCACACCTCTGAAATCAAAATCTAAAGATATTAAAATGAAGAAACTGCTGATTTAGACCAGATGAATTAGAACACTCAAGCCCCGTTAACCCATTAATGTCCATAGCTGAAATTTAAAAATTCCTTTGTCCAAGTATTTTTTGAACACAAAACTGAAGAATTTCTTTCAAATCAATCAAACCATACAGCTATATTCATGAGTGTTTATTGCTTAATTTATCATTATATAATTATATTCAATGGTTTGGTCACTTTTTCTAACAAAACAATAGAAAATCTAATTTAATACTTTACACAATTATGAAAAGTACACATAAATCAACAAAAAATCATTAAGTTTAGTACTTTGGTCATATGCTGCTACTGATTTTTTAAAACAACAACAACAAAAAAATTAATTTCCTTGTGAATGAAAGCATGAAAATTACATGTAATCCAAAAAAATCTGAATTCATTGTTAAATTTAGTATTTCGGTTACATGGTACTGCTCATTTTTAACAAATTTGACTGTGAATAAAGCAGGATATTTTCATATGATCTAAAATGCCACCACTTTAGACCAATCAGAACATGCTCTGTGGCATTTGTCCTCATCATACTAAATATAGCTCTTAAACATGAAAGGGTTAAAATGAGAACCAACTACTGTCTTACCTCAAAATCCCTTTTTAGGTATTTACATATGTCAGTGTGTCACACAAAGTCTTCTATCTTCTCCTGTCAGCTCTGGAAGGCGAAATAGTGATATCGCACCTGTAGCTTATTTCTGATAGGTTAAACGAGAGGTGTTACAACTTATCTCATACTACAGCACTCCCCCAGTGTCCTCTACCCAGGCCTTAGAATACTGAACGATGAACGTTTTAGGACAATGTAAATTACAAGTCAAAAACAAAACACATAAATCCAAAAGTGAACACAAGATGAATCTAAACATAAAAACACTTGAGATTTGATTCTCAGTTGTGATTTAAAATGGGAAAAGCATGATTTAATGCATGATTTAATGCACTCTGATGAATGACTGTTGGAATGGAGCATGAGAGACTATGGAGAATATGCTGATGCCAAAGAGGACAAGAAACATCTGCCGCCCCACTTACAGATGACTTCAGAGTGGCATCCAGAATTAACCAGCAGTTACTTTATGTAAACTTGTTCTGGTGTTTGTGGTTGAAAGTGATGGGTGTGACAAATCTATATACTAAAACATTACCATAAATAAGCAGTTAACTAGATGGACAGTAAAAGTATTTCTCTAAATTAAAGACTCAAGTAAAAGTAAAAATATCTCTCCAAAAAAACATCTTCAGGAGACATACAAAAGTATTAGGTCAAGAAACTACTTAAGTACCCTGCTTAAAAAACAGCACAGACCACCATGAATTCCATGCTGATCTAAGCTGGTTTATGCTGGTTTATGCAGCACCCGGCATGGTCATACTGGTTGACCAGAAATACCAGCATCCAAAACACAACATACGCTGGTTTTACTGGTGACCAGCATATCAGCATGCAAAACACAACTTACACTGGATTTGCTGGTGACCAGCCATGATGGTCTATGCTGTTTTTTTCTAGCAGGGTACTGAATTGCACAGAACTGCAACAGAACTTTTTGCTACATCCAGCATCTATCAGCACTCCTGCCATAGAAGCTGTTACATTAGGCTACTTTCACTACAGGTATGAGTTTAATCATTATGCTCTAATGATCAGAAAGCTCAGCACTGTCTTTGGAAGCCTACAACACATGCATGTAGTCTTTTCATGTGTAAGTGTAAAAAGAAATTTTTTACACTTGTAAGAATTTTTTTCACGTGTAAATGTAAAAAGAAATTAGTCAACATGATAAACAATTATAGTTGACCAATTTTTCATAGTTAACTCACCTTACTATCACTTAGCCTACTTCATAATGTAACTGACAGAGCAGCACACCTTTGTTGGATCCTGGTGGCATTCATAGTCACTAATGGTGCTTTGTGTTTTCCTGATGGGTTGATTTCACAGTGTAAAGCAGGGGTGTCAAACTCAACCACTAAAAGGGCCATATTAAAAAAACCTCTACATATCTGTGGGCCAGAGAATATCTCTGTGTTTTTATTTGTTGTTAAATAACATTTTGCTATAACCTGAGATGGCCACTGTTTATTCAACACACACCAAAACACCAACATCAAAATAAAGGCAGTTGTAGTGAACCTTGAAACATTACATAATGAATACTTAATATATGTTCAAAACGTAAGTAAATAAATAAATAAATAAATAAATAAATAAATAAATAAATAAGGTACAGTACACAACAGTATGGCATTACAACAGGCTATATCTGGCTATATTACATTACATTACGCACATTGTGCTGCAGTGCATGCTGGGGATTGTAGTGCAGCGTGTAGTGCAGCCAATATTAATAGAAAAGGAAAAACAATTTCGTGTTCTGGGACTGATTCCCTTTGATGGTTTCCTAATGGGATCTAAAGGTGTTGGTTCTAATGGTCTTTTTTCAGCAGGGAATTTAATTGAGTTTGGAAACAAAATGTCAAACCAAGTGGCATTTATTTTTAACAGATCATTCCAAGAATGTAGTTTTTCATTTGGCAAAGTGTTCTTCTATAAGACGGCAGGTGTGCTCCAGATCAGTGTCGTCTAAGCAGTTTCTCCGCACGCGTCTGTTTGTTTAACAGAAAACTGCTTAAAAGAGAACGTAAAGTTGGGAAGTGCTGCCACCCTGCGGTCATTCACAGCAGTACCCGTTAACGTTCATACGTCATACTGTGCGCCGACAGCAGAAAAGTCGAACCACACGTGTTCCAAAATGTCGCTCTGCTGTGTTTTGGTCCTGTGTTGATTCACGTTTAGATTTCGCGTATTTCGTTAAATACCGTGTAGAAAATTTCCCTCGATCACTCGAGGGCGACTGAATAAGAGGTCAACAAAGCATTTCGCTTGTTTACACGGCAAAAATGGCACAACGAAAGAAGAAACTGACGAAAAAGAAGAAGAACCCGGCGCACAGAGAGCCCGATGCTGACTCAGATGGAGGAGATTTCGAATTGGCAGCCGAAATTAAAGACGACAGTGTGGTGAGCAGTTGAATAAACTTAAACTTTACTGGATTATTTCCACTGTGCTCGGGTTTGTGACCGTCACTTGAAGAACAGCTTCTCTGGTAAACAGCTAGTTAGCCAAAATGCTAATGTCTCTCCAATACGATTACAAATTGGCTTCTTTTACAATTCATTGTGAAGCTTGACCATTTAAAGTATTTGAAGACTTTGTAGTTCGCAAATGAAGCCCTGTTTTCTTTGTATGGTAATTATTTCCTTTGTGCTTCATTGCTAATCACATGAACAGTGTTTTCATTTTGCAGTTATGCAGTTCAGGACTGCATAAAAAGCATGCTTTTACTCGTCCTTCAGTGGCCGTACTGAGTGAAGTATCATTGTCAGTGTTTTAACATAATGAAGCATGGAAATACTACTAGAACTGTTTTAAAGGGGAATGCCTACGTTTGTGGCTAATTATAAACTTGTCATAAAATGAAGGAAAAACTACCACGTTAGCTAATAATATGTGCTCCACACTTCTAAAGCAAAGCAGTGCCCTGTCACATGTCTCTTGCTTGTTTCAGCATTTCATATGTACTTGTACATAGTGCCTGCACTTAGGGCAATGTCTTTGCTGTTAAGGAGTGTTACTGTTACCAGTATGCACTGATAATAAAGCATATACAGCAGTCATTGATGATGACCAACAACCGGTTTATTTTTCCCCACCACCTTACCCACACTTTACTGTCTAATTTCCACTGTCCAGTGCCATCAAGCTTACTGTACAGTATTATATAGTAAAGTTTATTGTATAGTGTTTTGTACAGTTTATGTCTTTGTTTTTTGTATTTGTTGTGGGATATGTCGATGGATATATGTAGACACCCAAACCAGCTATTGGTAGACAAGGAGACCAGTGATGGATATATAGGTCCAATATTCATTTGCCATATGTTTTGAAGAATATAGTGTGAAAATGTACAAGAACACATAAAAAAGTTAATTATAGTGTAAAATGTACAGGAGTACATCAGTAAATAGACAAAAATATCCTATAAGCAGCTCTTCACGATAAGAATAACAAAAAATATGTCATAAAATAATTAGCTCTCCAAAATCAAGCACATAAAGTTTAAGTCAGGCTTTGATTCAAGCTATGCAGTGTAGTGAGCTCTTGTATATTTAGTTTGCGTTAAAGCTGTTTAAGTGTTTCTCATTATTATTCATTATTTTTTGCAGAACTTTTGCTTGTAATGTGACATAGATCTGATTTTAAAATCTTTTTTTTTAAAATCAGATCTGAGCCTTTTTCGTTTCTGTCCCTAGATTGGATACCTATCCGATTTGTAGCCATGTGACTTAAATGAGAACGGTCAGATTGGCCCCTAAATCTGCTTGTCTGTTGTTGTTTTGTGTTAAACGTAATGCTCCAGTGTCTCAAAGTAACTGTATTTCATTCCTCACTCAACACATGCTGTGGAATGACAGCGCTAACTTTGACTCATCTGCTCCTCCACAGGTTGGTACAAAGCTGCCCCGCTTTCCTGCCTCATCTGATTGCCTGTCGGATGTGGAGCCAGACACCAGAGAGATGGTTAGAGCTCAGAACAAGAAGAAGAAAAAGTCTGGTGGCTTTCAGTCCATGGGTAAGACATTTTCTGACACATTTAAGGGTATTTAAACCAACTTGTTTACTAAAGTCCATCTTTCATCTGTCTAGGTCTCAGTTACCCTGTCTTTAAAGGAGTAATGAAGAAGGGCTACAAGGTTCCCACACCAATCCAAAGAAAAGTATGTCTGTTGTCCCTGTTCAGTCCATCATTCTTGCATGCCGACTGCATTGGGACTCTAATGACTTGCGTTCTTTGTCTTAGACTATTCCTGTAATCCTGGATGGAAAAGATATTGTCGCCATGGCAAGAACGGGAAGCGGAAAAACGGCTGCATTCTTGGTGCCCATGTTTGAGAGGCTGAAGGCCCCTCAGGCACAAACTGGTGCTAGAGCTCTGATCCTTACACCCACTCGAGAACTGGCACTGCAGACCATGAAATTCACCAAAGAGGTCAGTAGTGACAGTGATGTTATATCATAGTTTTTGTGAAAAAAATGTCACATTTGTGTTTTTGTGGGTGTTTCATGGGTATCATCAGTGCCTCTAGAACACTTAACATCTGCATGGATTGTAGGAAGACAGATTTATACTGATTCTAGAGGTCCTCTAAACAGCTACTGTATTTATAGTATTTGACTGTGAGTAGTATGCCATTAGGAGTGCCCTGCCGGAAATTGAAAGAAAATATTAAAAAATAAGCTGGCGAATAAGAAGCCAATGTCAAGTTTGTTACATTTACACACAACTAAGAGAGATTTTGCAAATGTTACAATCATTTGTAGATTTCTAGTTTACCTAAATAAATGCATCCGGGAATACCCATATTGATTTTGCTTTAGATGAACCACTAAACTTTTGCTTGGAAAATTTTAATGAGCATCTAATGAGCAGCACAGCAAGGCTACTACCAGCCATTGCAGTTGCAAGTTTGTGGAATGCGTCTCACTGGCTTACTTAATGCTGCATCCCAAACCATGCATTTCTTTACTGCACTAATCATTTCTAATGATAATGCACTTTTTTTTACTCACTATTTAGCATGTGGTTTGGAACACAGCAGAAAATCTCAGCTGTTCACATTTCAGCTTCCATTTGTTATCACTACAGCAACAAATCAAATAAGACAAAACACTCAAATATTTTGGTTGATATAAATAGAAAATAGTTTTAAACTGTTTGTTCCCCCAGAAACCATGTTTTACTGGTTTTGCTGAATTGGTTATGGCCTTGTTACATTATAAGAAACCATCACTGTGCTGCAGAATGAAAGTTGCCTACCAAAACAGTGGTAGCATGATTGCGTGATTTTATGATAAACGGCATAGTAACAAGCAGCTGATTGGAGTCAGCCATTATACCAGTGTCTGATAAAATTAAATTTGTTTTTCCCCTTTGTCTTATTAAATAGTTTATTGCTGTTTGATTTTGTAAAGGAAAAATCCCTATTGAATTGGAACCATTGGTCGGGATTCTTGTGTGCATAATCTGAAAGTGTGTGGTGTTTCATTCAGGGCAGATCTTATAGGGTGGGGATGATTAACAAGGACCAAAGACAAAAAAATAGGTGACAAATGTCAGTATGTGTGGGGTCTCTCACATTTTAAACATCAGTTAGATTTTTTTTTATGTAATCCTGTAGGGTGGGCCAGGCATTAGTCAGTTGGCATTTGATTTGAAGGCTGCATATCAAATTCATGTGTTAAAGTTATGGTTTATTGCTGTTTATTTATCAGCAAAGAGACTTTACTAACTGTCTGTGCTTTTATTTCAAGTTGGGCAAGTTTACTGGGCTAAAAACTGCATTGATCCTTGGTGGAGACAGGTACTTTAATCAGTCTCTCTTTCTGTTGACTTTTGGACCATGTGTATAAGAAGCATTGACATCTGCTCTTGTCTTCCAGCATGGATGATCAGTTTGCTGCTCTACATGAGAATCCAGACATGTAAGTACATCACTGAATCATTACTCTTGCAAATACTAATAAAGATTTGGACAAAACCCCTTTCCCTGTCACTGCCATTGAACCAGATGGGCTGTATGGCCAAAAACGTGCCACCAGGCTTGGAGGAGCAAAAAATAGAGATCTCACACAAATATACAACATATAAACTTTAGCCCTAAACTGTTCACAACATCCCCCATATAAGGTTATGTTCAACAGCTAAGGCCTCATCCCCATGTATCCATACAATTTGAATTTTGTCATACACCTCAAGAAGAACATGGTGAGCATCTGCACTGTACAAAATACAAAGTCTTCTGAGCAAAAGTCTGATTTTTCTTGAAAGTAAAAGCCATAAAAAATAAAAGAACGCTACTGCTTTCCGTGGGGTTGTTTACATTGCCATGCCTACATCACTGTCTCAAAAACAGTCCTGATCAGGCTAGAAAAGCTGAGTTTTTCACCCCATTTGAATTGTAGAGTTAAAATTTATAAAATGATTCTAATTAAATGATCATCAAGTCATATCCTTAGAATCATATCCTTAGAATCAAGGGATTTTAATATTTGCAGTTAGTTGAAGTGACACCCCATCTACAAGGACTGAGCACAGTACATTCTGACACCTCCATGTTAGGCTTTAATAAAAGGGTAAAGCCATTCACATATTAACATGTTATCAGCAGGATCACTTCTAAATTGCTGAGCACATAGAAACAAGTCATATTTCAGACATGGTTCAGCATAATTAATAAATGAAAACATCTACAAATGTATGCAAGTTAATGGCGTTATGTCAGCATTTTTAAAAAGCTGTGTTTTACCCGTCAACACAACAATGCTAAATTTTTTGTAGTGAATGAAAGTGCCATTTTTGTGTGGATAGGAGGCAAAATGCAGAAGAAAAAAGTTTTTCCGGAATATCTGAATATATGTGGTCGGAGACTCAGTGTAGGCTGAACAGCTCAGCATTTAAATAACTTACTAACAGTTAATTATAATATGTTATGATTTAAATCCAAGACATTAATTAAAATAGTAATAAGCTGACTATATACAACATCATCATTTATAGGGTACTTTCTTTTGGGGGGCTATTATTAACCCTTAAATTTCAACTTGTGAAAATAATACTTACTTTTTTACATTGCCCACACAGTGAGCATCATCATGTGGAGAATTTATTTTTTATTTTTTATTTTTAATGATTATTTTATTGTATGCATTATTCAATTATTCATGAATTTCAATGCTTAAAATGGGGCTATGTACTGTTATTTTATTCTGATATGAAAATATGTTAAAGTATAGTTAACAGCACTGTTTAAGCCTATTATGCTTTTACGCTTTCTTACGCCATGTAATAGCCTACCAAAGTTCTAGTGCCCAGCATGAAAAAAAAATTCTAGTGGAATCGTTGCCTTCAAACATCTGGAGATGTTTTTTCTTTTAAACATGCCACAATAGACGAAACCTGATCAGGATGTTCTGACTCTCTTGCTCGTGTTCATTCAACTCTGTTATGTTTTAATGTTGTGTACCACATTTGTCAAATAGTAAATTGTATAAATGAAATTTTGTCGAACTGTTTTGCTACTTGCTACTTACTAATTGTTCTCTGTATGTCTCCAGTATCATTGGTACGCCTGGTCGTCTGATGCATGTTGTCATGGAAATGAACCTGAAGCTGCAGAGCGTGGAGTATGTGGTGTTTGATGAAGCAGATAGGTAAGCACGTAAAGGCTTGTTTTTTTTTTTGAGTGTTTTCAGTGCTTGCCTTACCAGAGTTTCCAATGCAGATTAACACTTACATGTATTATTGATTCTGCTTTGACAGCTTCAGTTAACGTAAAACTAGACTTATTTTTCATCCATATAGAGCTTTTACATGGTTAAGGTCATATAGTCAAGTGTGTCACTGTTGTGGATATTGGCAGTTTTTAATAGGTATGTGATATGTTAACTCTATGTAACTATGTAACGTAGTACTGTGTTTAAGTCTAGGCTTGAAATTGGATTTCTAAATCAGTTCTTGCTGTGGTGTCTAACAGGCTGTTTGAGATGGGCTTTGCCGAGCAGCTGCAGGAGATCATCAGACGGCTCCCTGAAACTCGACAGACCCTGCTGTTCTCTGCCACGTTGCCCAAACTGCTTGTGGAGTTTGCTAGAGCTGGTAAGGGCAATTGTTTTGAAAGCATTGTTTATATGGCATATTATATACAGTATGAGTATCAGCAGTAGAGAATATGGATACCATGAAGCAATTTCTGATACGCATGTGTGATACTGAGTGATGCTTGCATGTCCGCCAGTAAATAGAGCTTAACTGTAGCAAGCAACGTTACAGTGGTGTGGGATTATTTTACATTTAAGATAAGCGGCAGTAAATGCTTGTTGCAAAATCTGTAACACCAATATTTTGAGTGGAGGCAATAGTGGTGGTTGGAAGGTATAGTTTTGTCCTAAAATTTATAGCGGTATGCCACAAATAAGCACAGATAATGCAATGTGTGGAATGTATGAGAGAAATGACTTGAGAAATTTGAACGTGAAACAACATTTAGCACTGTTATTGCCAGGTCCAGAGAAGCTGCTGTGTGCTTATGCGTACACGTCATAAATTTATCTAATTTTTTATTTTATCTATGTTTAGCTATTAGCTTTTGTTGTTAAATGTAGTTTTTATTGAAAAGGCACTCTAGAACTGTTGACTAACAAATACGTTGTCTTAAGCATCTAAAGTGGTTTTATTGGTGTGTGTGTGTGTGTGTGTGTGTGTGTGTGTGTGTGTGTGTGTGTGTGTTTCAAGTTTCAAAAGTAGAATGGTATAATAATCAGAATATATGGGCACCTACTGAGTACTTAGGTTTGACGGATCAGGTAGCAGGTAGGAAGTTTCGGAAGGGAAAGGTGGTATTGGGGCTTTGCTGTTCCTCAGTTTGACAAGCCTCTGACAGCACTGTATAATGAACTCTGTTCTTGCTCCTGCAGGACTAACTGATCCAGTGTTGATTCGTCTAGATGTAGATACCAAGCTCAGCGATCAGTTAAAGGTAAAGTCAATCAAACATCAGATTCAGCAAAGAGTACTTACAAATTATACCTAGACTAAGTTGCTTTAAGACAGCTAGAAGGTTGAATGCCACTTATGACACAGTCCCTTTTTTCCTCCCATAAGCTGGCATTTTTTCACTTGCGCCTGGACGACAAGCCAGCACTGCTGCTGCATCTCCTTCGTAATGTAGTTAAACCTCAGGAGCAGACAGTGGTATTTGTAGCTACTAAACACCATGTGGAGTACTTGAACCAGGTAAATGCTCATGCAGTTTTATTGTTGTTTTGTAAATAAAATATTGTAAAATGTCTTGTTCTGTTTGTTTATCAATTAAACAAATTGATACTTGTGTAAGGGTGGTTTCAGCTCACTGACTGCTGTAACAGTAACAATTAAACATACAGTACTGTGCAAAAGTCAGAGACCATCTTTCATTTATTTAATTTCAAATTTTAGATTATTCAGAGGAAAAACTAGATTTCGGAAAACAATTTAAAAATGTAGAGAAAGTGGGACGCCCAACAACAGTGCAGGAGCTGGTAAACCACCAAAACTGTCACCATCAAATAAACAGTACTGTAATCTTTGAGAGATAGCGGAAAGTCCAGGAGAAAGTCCTCCCATGGTTCAGATCTGAAAAAAAATCCACAGGTGTTTCTCTCTATCCTTCCACTGTCAGAAGACCACTCAACACTGTGGGTCTGAAAGGATGTGTAGCTGTCAAACCATTAAAGAGCAAAGAAAATGGCAAAAAAAAAACTTGCACTCAACACTGAAACTGGACGTCTCAGATGTGGTGTAAGGTTTTATGGATTTACTAGTGTACATTTGTAATTGGGATTAGTTGAATCATAAGAAGCAAGACAGCGCAAACAATGTCTAATACTGAACTTTGGAGGTATTTACAAGAAGCATGAAAAATTATCCCTGAAAATTTCTTTGATAAAATTTAAGCAGGTCTTTTTGTTTTTTTCCCTGACAGTAAAAAGTGAATAACTTGAACTTAATGGCTGTTTTGACCAGAAATCTGACTTTTGCACTATACTGTGTTTACCAAAAAGTGCTTGAAGAGATTTATATCTTCATTACACAGTGATGTTGACCTCCACAATAACATTCCATCTGTACTGTCTCTGTTTTAGCTGCTGACTGCAGAAGGCATAGAGTGTGCCTACATCTATAGCGCCCTGGACCAGACAGCCAGAAAGATCAATATTGGTCGTTTCGTCCACCGTAAAGCAATGGTTCTTCTCGTGACTGATGTGGCAGCTCGTGGTATCGACATCCCTCTCTTGGACAACGTCATCAATTACAACTTCCCCTCTAAGGCCAAGCTTTTCCTGCACAGAGTCGGTATGTGCACTGCAGTTCCTTGATTTAAGGTTTTGTAGGCAGATCTCAGCACCTGAAAAGAACACGAGGTTTGTGGTTCCCATGATTCTCATGCTGTGTTCTGATTGTTTTGTATCGTGGTGTAGGTCGTGTAGCCCGTGCTGGCAGGAGTGGTACCGCTTTCAGCTTGGTGTGCCCAGATGAAGTCCCATTTGTTTATGACCTTCACCTCTTCCTTGGGCGACCTATGGATCTTGCGACCCTTGATCACCCACAGGGTATCTCACTTCCATTAGATTCTGTCTCATTGCTCATGTTGATTATTGAAGTTGATAAGGTAGTGACATAATGGGCTGGTATGCAGTTTATGCAGTTACTATACACTGGTTGGTGTTTACTGTCTGTAATTCCACTAAATCTTTGTGATATGTGCAGTTGTTCAGAATACTACAAGTACTTAAAATTGGTATGAAATAAGGATATTTTGACATAATTGATCACTGTTATTAAAGTGTATGGTCATGTTGTCTCACGTCTGATTATCAGTATTTGATGCACTGAAACAGGGCTGTATATAAACTTTTTGAGCAGGCAGCACTGGTGCTAAAAATAGTCGCAGGCGTCACAAATTATAATGTAGCAGTAATAAAAAAAAAACAAAACATTGTAATGCTTCTAAAAAGTATTTATTCCGAAAGGTGGAACAATGTGTCATTTTAGCTTTTAAACAACAGAAACAACATGCATAATCTTTGAATTTTAATGTTCATTTAGTGAGACATACACAGAATTCAATTTCTCCACAATAGCAGCAGCATTTAAACAAAACAAACCCAATGTAGCAGAACCTCATAGAGACATGCATGCTACATTATAAGCAAAGTTCCTGGTATGTTTACATTCTCTTCTTCCTTTTGTTTACTCTTTTTATTTATTTATTTATTTTTTTGGTCTAGATGCTGATGGTGTCATCGGCCGTGTTCCGCAGAGCATCTTGGATGATGAAGAGGCACATCTCCTCACTTCCCATGAGAACTCACTAGACCTCCAGAACCTCAAACGGGTCTCGGAGAACGCTTACAAGCAGTACCTGAAGTCACGGCCCAGCCCGTCACCTGAATCCATCAAACGAGTGAAGAGCTCTGACCTGTCTTCCATAGCTGTTCACCCGTTGCTAGGTTTACATGATTTCTTATCAGTTATTAATTGTTTTGGACTATTTATGAGAACCTCTACCAGCTTAATGTCGCATTTCTGGGGTCCTTTCAGGGTCGGGACTTGAGAAGATGGAGCTGGAGCGATTGCAGATGGTTGACTCCATCAAGGCTTACAAGTCAAAATCTGTAAGTCAATATATGAGCAATGCTCTTTTTCAGTGTAGTAAGAATTTAGTAGTGTAAAGGCCATTGCACACTGAATACGGCGCCAATAAATGGCATGGAAATCTGAAATACACTGTTTTTTCGCGTTAGAAATACATACACGGCATTAGAAATACATACACGGCACGTGATTTGATTTTTTTTGCTTTTCATGTAATGGACAAACTGGGACATGCTGGATGCTTTCCACTTTGGAAAAGCACAAAACAAACAGGCAGAATAACTTCAAGTGCAAATAAGACATACTTTGCCCTGCACATAACTGGCAAACTGACACTGCACAGGCTCCTTTCCATTTTGAAGAGTCGAGAGCTTCATTGCTTCATTCATCATCAGAGATGTTTTTACACATATAACTCTGATGTTCATAGCCAAGTTTTGTGTCACATTTGAACTGGTTTTGGAGATTCTAATCTTTTTGATGATTGCACAGAAATTGCTGGGGGACAGCCATTCCGTCAGCTTGGTTTTTGCCATGCTAACACTAAAGTGACTGGTCAGAGAGTTCATATCATAGGTTTGCAAAAATCGGAAAATGGTGTTTTAAATAATGTGCGTTTTTGCTGTCTGATAAAATCATATTTGACTGTGAGTTATATACCTGCTCATACTGAAGGGGATTTTTCTAATTTCCAGCATAATTCAGTCATTAAGATGTAAACAAAGTCATTCAGAGTGGTTTGCTGATATGGTTCATTGTAGAGAAATCTACAGTCTAAAACCACCAGTGAACCTACATGTGTCTTTTTCGTTTTTATATATATATATATATATATATATATATATATATATATATATATATATATATATGTGCTTGATGATGAAATAGTATTAAAAGTATTAAAAATCTTTACAGCTTGTTTTGCCTTATAGCACCCTACATGTACCTCTCCACTATGAATGTATTTATGTACAATGCTTTTCTGACTTGCCTTTTGATTGTCTCAGACTATATTTGAGATCAACTCTAACAATAAAACCAATGCGAGTGAGGTGATGCGGGCGAAGCGGTCTCGGGACAGCCGACTGGTGGACAAGTTTCAGAGATCAAGGGAGGAGCTGCTGGCGGAGAGTCAGCTGAATAAGCCAGTTCCTCGGCCTGCTAGCTCAACTGAACCGCAATACAGTGATGAAGAGGAAGAGGATCTTCGGGTAAGTATAGAGGATACACTTGCTGAGATTACCTCTGAAAACATTTATTGCTTTTATGTTTGAACTAAATGTTGTCCAAAAATGACAATAAATAGCCTGTGTATCTGATTATTTTGCACCCACCAGATGGTGGAAGGTATGTAGATGCAAAAGTAAACACTAGTATGATGTTTATCAATGATATGAATTTACAATTTACACTATTGTGGGTGCGGTTGTCACGTTGTATCAGCTAAAAGTGGAAATACTAGCAGCCTTTTTGCCCCCTGAAAAACATAAAAACCATGCAAAAATCTTTCCACAATATGTCCAAAAGTTTGTAGATACCTGCTCATCTTCTAAAATCAAGATTATTAATAAGGAGTTCTCCCTTTGCTGCAGTAACAGTCTCTAGTCTGCTGAGAAGGCTTTACAAATATTGTACATTGCTGTGAGGATTTGATTGCATTCATTTACAAGAGCATTAGTGAGATCAGGAAATGATGCTGGATGATTAGTTATGGATCATAAACACCACTTCAACTCATCCCCAAAGGTTTGAATAGTGCTCCATCACAGAACACAGCTGGAAGACTTTGTTTGATATATTGCACATAATGAACTTAAACTCATGTGCAGCTGCTCCAGACCTTGCCATTCTGTTGATCATATTGATAACTAACTGTGGATAATAACCATGGAGATTACACAAGTGGGAGCGATTGAACAGCTGTCAACAATGGTTGCACCTGAAAGTAACTGAATTTAACTGAAAGTAACTGAAGGAGTGTCTGGATACTTGCAAAAGTATTTTTTTTAAATGTATTAATTAAGCAAATAACTGACTATTTTTAAGACATCATGTTGTTATTGTTCTGTTGATATCATGATATAAACTTAAAGTTACAGTACTTATCTCTATTACCAGGGCGTGTTCTCAGAGGTGGTTGGAGGAAAGAGACGGAAGCAAGATGAAGAAATGGAGGTGGACAGGCCTAAGAGCAAGAAGAAAAGGCAGTCAGGTCAAGATGAGGAGTTTTACATCCCCTACAGACCCAAAGACTTTGATTCAGAGCGGGGGTATGACTATAATCTTCATAATGCATTATTAACACATGGTCATCTGTAATGTGGCTCCTGTATAGCCGTGCAATATGTATGCTGTGGAGATTGGCGTTCTGACTGTGGTGGCCATTTTTTGGCAGACTCAGTCTTGGGACTGAAGGCAACACGTTTGAGCAGCAGGCTTCCTCGGCAGTGCTGGATCTTATGGGCGATGAGAGCAACACAATGAACCAGCACAAGAGCATGATGAAATGGTGAGTGGACAGACACCTTCAGACCTAAACCCAGCAGATGTACAGTCTGCAACAAAAAATGACTCAAACGTTTTCTCTGACTCTCCAGGGATCGCAAAAGAAAACGTTTCATCCGTGACACAGGAAAAGAAGATAAAAAGAACAAGATAAAAACGGAGAGCGGACAAGTAGTCAGTGCTAAGAAAAAGAAGAAGAACTTGTATCCTTTATCTGTTTTACTCTGTGTAATTATGTCGATGCTGAATGGATTTGATTGTGTGATGAACTCTTGCCTTCTTGAGCGTTTCTAGTGCTGTTAGGATTCATTCCTTTACTTTGCTGCAGCTATGAGGAATGGAAGAAGAAGTACAAGGTGGATGATGATGTGTCTGATTCAGAAGGAGAGAATGGAGGAGGGAGGCGGCAGAAATTTGCAGGTATGAAATCATGCCCTCATCCACGGGCTAAAGTTTAGGATTTGGTTCTCTGTGTGCTAGTTTTGGGTTTTCCAGACATAAATATTTGATTATAAGACAACATAGATTATTTATGGGGTTATTTAGGCCAAGAGAGACACTCTGGGCAAAATAATGTAATCATCACGGCATCTGTTGTAAACATGCCTACTCGCCTCATACAGCGGTGCCACAATTTTCTCTAAAGCTGTGTTTACACTGAAGGTGTAAGTGGCCTAAATCTGATATTTTTCTTCATATGTGACACAGATTTGTGACAGCATCTTCAAAATGACTGTTACTATGGTTACGCTTTGTAATTTTCATTTTGGAGGAGGAGACAAGCATGAGCAGTATACTAATGAAAGAAATTGGACTAATAGCTATTCAAAATAACGTTTTCCTCAAGGACATTTTTCAAAAATAGAAAGAGTAGGTGCTTCACAAAGATCAAGTCCCCTTATCAAATATGTATCCTATTGCTAGCTTTGTTCTTCATGGCAGGCAAACGAAAGAGACTGACATTCCTTTCTCTGCTAGATCAGGTTCCATAATTAAAACAAGCACGAAGAATTTGTATTCTTTTCTGTAAACTTTGTCCTGTATGGCCGTTTTGGTGTCTGCTGTTTGGAATTTAAGATTAAAGCAGCAGTTTACACAAGTTAAAGTCACATTAACCCCTTAAAATCCCAGACTTATTACACACTAAAGCTTATTTTTTAGTACCTATAGGGACTTCCATGTAAACTAGTTGAGCTAATCTTAGGTTATAGAAGTGTGTAACAAAACTTGGGGACCTGCCAGCGGGCCCTGGCCATGTAAGAGTTAAAAAGATAATGTGAACAACCAAAAAACAAAATGTGCATCTGAACGTAGCCAGTTCAAAGTTTTTGATGATGTAAGTGGGAGGAAAACACAAACCCCTTTATCTCTGTTTGGGGGAATTCCCATTTGTTGTGTGATGCATTTGCGTAATGCATGCTGGGTGTTATAGTGAGAGAACTTTGATAAATTAAAAGGGATGCAAAATCATGAATTCTGGTAAACCAGTAAAGATGAAGGATGCAGTGCTGTGCTACAATATTATTGTGTAACATAAAAAATCACGTATTATGTGCCAGTTTAGGCCAGAATGCCTTTTTAAACTCTGTGCACAAAACTATCCTGATGACATTTAGTATATTGATGTGATGGGTTAAAAATATAGTTATCAGCATTGGTGAGTTGCCAATTTGCATGATGATAATGCATGTTTTACATTTTCAGTTAAAATCAGACCCTATTACACATTCTTTCACATGCACTTTTAAACCCAATTTCTTTTAAACAAAGTCTTTTCCAGTATAGTATTTAAGAATCTTTGTAAAGATCCTCATGGCTTGCTGTTGTTTGGTTAAGTCCTCTTTTATTGTTTGGCCTCTTTAAAAACCTCTAGGCCTGCTGCCAAAGATGATTTAGTAATTAATGGGTTATTTTATCAGTGCATCTAAATTATTGGTTCTCACCACCCTGCACATTTTAGAGTTTCCCTGCTCCCAACACACCTGACTCAGTTAACAAGCTATGCAACAAGCCCTTCTGGGGTGAGCAGGGACAACACTACAACATTAAGTACTTCAAGACATTGAAACATTTGACATATAACTAACACAGTCTAATTACTGTAATAGGCTACATGGTAAGCTTTAGCCATTTCATTATTCTGACAAATAATGACAAATGAAGAAACACAAGCACGTTTATTTCCTCTGGTTTAAGCAGGCTTCTCTCTGTTTTTACCATACCACCTGTCATGCAGAAACAGGTTATGGGAGAAATATGCTGTAAATATTGATTAAGAGGTTCCTCAGCCTGTACATTAGGGTTAGAAGCAGACTAAAATGTTAATTGTCTCAATAATATGTTGATTATTCTAGAGTAGTGCAATCGGTACTGATAGCACTAATAAAGAGGTTTTACTACATAATGTATGTGTGTGGACATCTTTCTCAGGTCGGAGGGGCCGGAGGGGAGGCAGCTCTCAGCCCCAGAGCAGGAGCGGCTCACGGGTACGTTCAGAGCTGAAGAGCCGTGAGCAGATTCTCAAGCAGCGCAAGCAGCAGTCTAAGCAGCAGTTCCTGCAGAGTGGAGGCTTTAAGAAGCTACGTGGCAGAAACAAGCAGCGTCTCCACGAGGTCATGAAGTCTGGCTTCGGCCGTGGCCACTTCAAGAAAGGCAAGATGAAGAAGAGACTGTGAGACTCTAAGGGTCGAGTAGTTGAATGCTGGCCAAATTCCAGTCTCAGTTAGCCACAACAGCTTTTAACCTGTGTCACTTTTGCTACGGGAAACGAATGGGTTGGTTTTAAAAGGCCGCTATTAAATATTTGTCTTCAGTGGCATATTATGTGACAGGTGAAACAGAGTTTAATGACCCTACTGCCTTATTTCTCTCACTTCTGTTGAGGTATTGTGTTGGGCAAATGGGAAAGGACAATATAAGAGTAATAAAATGTCAGAGACCATTTATAATGATAAAGACATCTTATACACTGCTACAGTTGTATGCAAAACCTTGGGCACCTCTAGTCAAATTACATGTGAAGAGGTTCATTCTGAAATGCTGTATGTCCATTTGTATCAGTATTGGATATAAGGACTTTTTTGAAAAGAATAACAGATTAACATTTGTATTTCTGTAATAAAAGTGGTATTGATCATAAGTTGGCTTCCAACGCCAACATGCTGCTCTTCATTGTCATTTTATTTCTGTTAGCTAGAACCATGAAACTTTGTAGAGCCTGTATGGGAATAGTGTGCTTACAGTTTTTGTACAGCATTTGTTCAAACACTTTTTTTTCCATAGAAAATGAATGGCTAAATGTTCAGAAAGTTCAAAACTAACTACCCCATATAATGTCACAAAGAACTTTTCACACTCCACCTATTAATCGTTACATACAGACAGACAGACATACATACTAGCACACATATACACACACCTTAGCAACCACCTGGGATAGCATAGCAAAGTCCTTGCAACCACCTGGGATACCATCTCAACAGGTTTGTCATGCCAGTTTAAAGTTTCGTTCACAAACTTTTTTCTTTTTTTAACTTAAGTTAAAAAAAGCTTTTGAAGTGGTCTATAATGCATTTTGCAGCCAAACCCTTCATGTATTGTTGATTTTCAAAGTGAAAATAAGTACATATCCTCTACAGAGAACATACTTGTGCATATTTTAGTGCACAATTATTGTTTATTTGCAGAATTTAACATATTGAAGGGAAAAACATAAAATGTGGTCTGTGCCAAAGTAATGGCATATTTTATATTTGTTCTTTCCAATATGTTAACTTCAGCAAAGTAATAGAAATTGTACACTCAAAAGTGACATTTAAATTTGTTCCCTGTAGAGAATGTGTTAATGTAGAAAAAAGCAAAAAATGTCATTTGGCTGGGAGTGTTCAGACTTTTGCATGTAAGTGCATACCTGAAGACAAGTACTCTGTAGAATTCAGTTCTAGCTGATGCAACATCAGTGAGGGAACTTTACAACCTATAGCCAATGACTTGTGTTAAAACTTTGTTATATACAGTTTGTACATGAGTGTTTTTTGTATCTGTGGTCAATACAGATGCTAAAGACAAAATTCCACTGTGTCTTTGTTGGCTTTGTTAAAATTGTATGGGTATTGAAGCGTAAATTCAGTCATTTGCAGCCAGTGGGATTACAAATCATGATCAGGGCCTGTAGTGATGAAGCTTCTCAGGGCAGGAGTGCTGAGCTAGGCTAGATCTGTTCTGATCAGTAAGGTCATAGTAAATAAGAAAGGAGTATAAATCTAGGATCAGCACTCCTACTCCTGAAGAGTTTATCCACAAGATGGCAGCAACCTGCAATTTGTTCAATTTATCCATCTTCATCCATATTAATATACAATGCCGGGTATTACACTGCTCTAAAGAATAATTTGTCTTTAAAAGAAAGATGAAAAATCAGACCTTAAAAATAGAAGGTCTTCAAAAAATTCCACAGTGGGAGCCTTGCTGGTTCTACCACAGAAGTATGCAGTCAGTTTCTCGACATGTGTGGAGACCTTTGATGGGGCCCATCTGGATGTACTTAGATTCTCGCTGTTGTTTAGTGATATGTAACCTGTGTTATCACTGGGTTATCTGTGGCATATCTGAGTTATGCCTGGATCTGATTGACCACAATGATGATTTGTGAATGGCCCTTCCGACTCTCAAATATCGTAGACCTACAAACTGTACTGTTACAGTGAGTTGCATATCTGATAGGTATTTGCAAAGCAAGCAAATTGCCCTGGTGCCTCACAGACCCTCGCTTACAGTTAAATATTCAGGATTCTTTCTGATAACAACCGAATGTCAGACAGCATAAAAACACAATGATAAGATGTACTGACCTTTTGCAGGGTTTTTGTGATTTAGTTTACCGACTGCAAGTCGTTCATTTGCCAAATTCTTGATATATTTTGATACGATCTGGTGTTAAGTTATTGCCATAAATTGCTTTTACATGTAGTTAGCTTGATAAGTAGCTTTTTCAGAAAACTGTATTTGTGCGACTCACCTCAGTAAAGTTATGCCATAAAAGAGTTTGGATCACATGAAGAGTAATGGGTGAAAGCTTGGCTTACCAAATGTGGCAGGTGTAATAAATCATACAGCACATACAGACAAACAGATGCAGGCAGGAGAATCACACAAACATTTTTGTTGGTATGTATATACATTTATAAATACATTTCAGACTTTAACTGACTTGCACTGTAGACTAAAATCATTTTGCATTAAATGACTCTATCCCTTATTTAAGTTTATTTTATTAAAACAAATGGTTGGACATTCCATTTTGTCACTAACAGAACAATTACAACATTATCAAAACCTTACTAAACGCTTTCAGTAATGACAAATTTAGATAATTTTGAACATAACTCAAAGAACGCTAGTCAGTACATGACTAGCAAACACAGCTTTGAACAGCTGTACACACATAAAATCATAATATTTTTCATTAAAACACAAAAAGTTGACTTAATTGCAGACAACATGTGTTTCGTTAGTGACAATTCTTAATGTTACACACTGATTTTCAGACTTTGGGACACATTTACTTAAAAACAGTGGGATCTAACTGTTCACCATGTGGCTGAGGGACAGGGATGCAGTCTCACTTGTTGCTCTAAAATACTGGGGCGTGGCTAAAATACGCCCGACTATTCACTAAAACTGTGTTTCAGTAGTGATATAAACAGTATTTTTTTTTTTTAAACTTTTGATATATATATAAAAAACCTCATGATAAATCTTCACTGTAAAAGAAATCAAAAAGATAAAAAAAGTATTATTTTCACTAGTTAATTTAGGGGGTAGGGTTTGGGACAGCCACCTTTCAATAGAAAGTATCTATGAATGATGATTTTGCACATATTTAGCTTATCACTGTCTCAAGTAATGCCTTTGGTTTATATAGACGATAACATAATCCTTGTAAATATCTAAGCTCTGAATATTTTTTTGTGAGATTGCACTTTAAACTAATTCAGTGGAACAGTTCGTATATCATGTAGCATTCATTCATTACCATTTAAACTGCATCAGTTCAGCAGCATCTCATTTTGGTTTTTACTAACTATATATTTTTTTTATTGTTGATCAAAATTAATAACTTTTTTATACAAGCAGCACACGTTTGCAACAAATGAAAATGTAGACATTGCTCTGATCACCAGCCATTTGTCAATAATTCAGCTGAAAGTGGTGGGAGTGCAAATGTTTCAACTTGCCCCATAGGTAGTGTCAGTTGTAGCAGACTGAGGGGCTAGTAACATTCGCTAGAAAAGTCAGTCTGGCAAGTACAGGTCTGTGTTGTTTAATCCAAATATTCTTTCCAACTGAAAGGCATAAAAATATACACATCAAGACTAATGAAAAGCCTGTGTGAGAAATCTAACAATTATTTTTGACCACAAATTACAGCAGCAAATATAAGCATGCTAAAAGACATGTTATCTACAATACTTCTTCAGGTTTTCATTCAGTGAATAAAGAAAAGGCAGTGTTGAAATTATGATGGGAAATAACCTGCTCTTATTAATATTTTCAGCAATTTACTTGTGGCCTTATATTAAAACTAAACATGCTCTCTGTGGAGGCTGTACTTTAGCCTGTCTAGTGCTCTCTGTGAGTTGTTTATATGCTTTACAACAGTGGTTGAAATTCTATATAAAGCTTTAGAAATTGAAAAAAAAAACCCCACTAAATATAACATTAAAGCCACCTCCTTGTTTCCACTTTGTAGTTCTACTTTTTTATTACAGACTGTGGTTCATTTGTTTCTCTGCATTCTTCATAATACATACTTGCTTTGCATACTTTGTTAGCCTCCCTTTACCCTGTTCTTCAAAGGTCAGGACCCCCGCAGGACCACCACAGAGCAGGTATTATTTGGGTTTCTCAGCACTGCAGTGACACTGACGTGGTGGTGGCGGGTTAGTGTGTGTTGCGCTGGTACAAGTAGATCAGACACAGAAGTGCTGCTGGAGTTTTTATACACTATGTCCATTCACTCTCCACACTATTAGAAACACTTACCTTGTTGGTCCACCTTGTAGATGTAAAGTCAGTAGCTCATCTGTTGCTGCATAGCGTGTATTGGTCATCTTCTAGTCCTTCATCAGTGGTCATAGGACACTGTTGGCTGGTTATTTTTGGTTAGTGGACTACTCTCAGTCCAACAGTGAAACAGATATTTTTGGTTAGAGGACTACTCTCAGTCAAACAGTGACACAGATATTTTTGGTTAGAGGACTACTCTCAGTCCAACAGTGACACAGAGGTGTTTACAACTCCAGCAGCACTGCTGTGTCTGATCCACTCGTACCAGCGCAACATACACTAACACACCACCACCACGTCGGTATCACTGCAGTGCTGAAATCGTACAGCACAGAAAGCACAGAAAGCTTTCTAAAAATGCAATTCCTTTTTAACAAGCACTTGCATGACGTTTTATTCTGAACCTTAATTAGCACATAGAAGCTGCACCTAAACAAGGCATAATGCTTAACTTAGACGCTTTGCCATGGCGAGCGAGCCACGGTGAGAGAGCCTGGACGTGCGAGTCTCTCTTTGCGAGGGTGCCTCAGATCCGCCGCTTGCCAAATAACTTTTGTACGAAAGTCACTCATGATGCAGAGCCAGTTTGTCCGATAGAGAAAGTATTTCAAAATTAACGACAAAGCCAATTAGTTCAATGTGGTGGCTGAATCACTAGCCACTTAAATATGTATAAATGAAAGTTATGACTGATGTTTTAAAGCGTTCTAAATCTAGTTATGTGTTTAAATGTGTAACGTGAATCAAAAACGTAACTGGCTAGCTAGCATGTTTTTTTAAGCCACTGTGAGGCCGGTGTACAGAGTAGCGAGCAGTTAGCCGTTAGCTAACCGAAGATGATGTAGAGGTAACCTGTTTTTAAGTGATTTATTGAAACGAAAATAATCGAACAAAACGAAGACTTTAACATGTTTCACAAGCAGAAAACAACAGTTATTTTTAGTACCGAAAGGCGGACAACGCTGGAGTACGCTAACTAGCTGTCAAAGCCGAATTTATACGCTAGGTTAGTTTGTTTACTTGTGTTGGAGTTTTCTGGAAGGTTCCAGTAGCTACATCAGAATCACCTCTCCAGAATAGCCAAAGT